TAATCTTGGATACACTCTCCATTTAGACATACCTAATTGTTTAGCTTGTTCACCTATCTATCCGTCCCTATACCCACGTTTGCTTTCATTGACAACTCAGTACTGTATATGCAAAAGATGAACCACCTACCTTTTAGTTAGCAGCCCAATGACTTAACCACAATGTCACAGAGCTCCTTAAGTATTACTATATCACCCTGCAATTCAACGCTTAGAAATATACCCAAAAGATTTGAAAACAGGGACTCAAACAGATACTTGTACACAAATATTCATTACAACATTATTTACAATAGCCAGAAGGTAGAAGCAGTTCAAGTGCCCATGGACAGATGAATGGATAAACTAAATGTGGTATACGTACAATGGAATACTACTTTCATAAAGAGAAATTAAGTTCTGATACATGTGACATGGATGAACCTTGAAAACATTATGCTAAGTAAAAGAAGGCAGACACAAAAGGACAACTATTACATGAAATATCAAGAGTAGGCAATGCATAGGAACCAACGTTTATTAGTTGTTACTACCAAGGGCCAGGGGGAGAGGAGAATGGAAAGTTACCACTTAAGGAGTTCTGAGGTTCTGTTTGGTGTGATGAAAAACTTTTAGAAGTAGTGGTAAGAGTTACACAATATGGTGAATATAATTAATGTCATTGAATTGTACAAATAAACATGGTTAAAATGGCAAATGTTTGTTATATATGTTTTACCACATTTATTTTTTTAAATCACCTATATCTTTTGGCTGGGCAATCCTACTTCCATAGTGATACTGCCTCGGAAACCTAAGGAGGGGTCGCTATGAGTCGGGGCTGACTTGACGGCACATAACAACAACAACAAATATCTTTTCCTGCCAAACATATTTGACCTGAATCTAATTATGAAGAAAATTCAGACTGTGGAACATCACTCAGCTCACTAGCTAAATGCCTTAAAAAACAAAAAAAAAGGTATAGGAACGCTATTCTAGATTAAAGCAGACTAAAAGCAAGCAAAACTCAAATAAAAATGTGTTATCTTTGATTACCACTAGATTAAAAAACATTTAGGACAATTCAACTACATACAAGAATGAATTTATCAGTGTTGAATTTCTTAGATGAGGTAATATTCTACTTATACAGAAGAACATACTGATTCACAGGAGATACATGCTAAAAGTATTTAAGGTGAAATCTGTAACTGAATTTCAAATGGCTCAAAGGAGAAAAAAGAAAACTTCAGGCTAAATAGATAATCATTCTTCTGTTCTACTTTTTGGTAGCATTGAAATTTTTCAAAAGAAAAAGTTTGGGGGAATTGTTTTAAATAAACATTGTATACATTTAAAAGAAACACGTTTTATTATCTTCAAGTACACATACTTACCTTACTTGAAGTGGTAAGCAAAAAAGCTCTTTGAGCATTTTCTTTTTCAGCCAAACAGAACTGCAGTCTGTCGATCTCTTCTTTAAAATGAGTAATCATGTTTTCTTTGTTCCCATCTAAATTCTTTAAAGTCTGGACCTCTGACACAAGCTTGGTATTTTCTATTTCTGTGTTCTTCAAATGTACCTGTAACAGTGTTTGAAAACGTCAAGAATATTTTTTCTAACTCCATAAGCTAATTAGTCAAAGTTTAATATGCCACTGTTTATTGCCAACCAAAAAAAAATGACCACAAAGGGGAAAACACACTTGAGTAGGAGTCAGGAGACCCAAGTTCTGTCAAATGACTGGGCATGTGAGAGCAGAGCCCAACTTTTCCTGTTTCTGTTTTTCAGAGATGAAGTATAAGTTTTAACATTATGTGATCTCCAAAGTCTTTTCATTTGATTCAATGATTACAGTTTCCATAAAAATGAAAATGAATTTGGTTCTCCTTTTGGGAATATATTATGTTACAGACAGACAGAAAACATGATGTTTCAGATATGAGGGCATGAAAGGTTCTGAAAACCAGAAGGTGTACATATTCTAGAATAGTATCTCTGACAATTCAATTCTTACTTGTGATAACTACTATCTCATTTACATCCTATGTGCCTGAAATGATATTTGCTGATTAACTCAAATATATTTGGTTGTTACCAGTGATTCGTTCACAACAAATATCAAATTCCATAACTATGTTACAGCAAAACATGTGAAAGCCAGAACTTGTATAAGGTGGAAACCTGTCGAAAAGGAAACAGCAAATTATTTTCCACTAAAATGAGTGATGCTACTAAAGAGAAGTGAATTGACATAGTTCTTGCATGATATTCTTTTAAAAATATATGAAATGCTGAAAAGACTAATTTCTGTTTACAAGCATGGTATATAATTTTTAATTCTCTGAAGGTATTAGCACCTTTGCACCATCACTTTTAAAACATTACCTAATTTTCATAATCATCAGCTCATGAAAGTGTTTTGTCAACACTACTAAAATCTTATGATGTAATAGGGGCTATAGAAGAGAGATGAGAATAATCTCTCTTATCACTCATGTGAACAATTTGAAATGCAAAGTATGTTTCTGAGGTAATAGAACAGTAGGCTTATCACATTGGCTATATGGAGTGTCACTGCCAACGCACACACACACACACACACACACACACAACTCCTAAGGAAGATCTTTATTTCTATTTCAGGTAGACAGCACATACACAAATGAAAAGCTGTTCAGAGCACCAAAGGGTAGAGGTGGGAATAGGGGGTGGAAGGTATACAAATGAAAAATTCAGTGTCACTTTGATCCCAACAGCTAATGCCTGCAGAGAAATGGAGATATTAAAAGAATAAATATACTATAAAAGAATAAATCCCTAAGATACTCATTCTTTGCCTTCCTTCCTCCCTGCCAAGTCTTTGGCAGAGGACCCATCATCATTCAGGCGTACAACAGAGAAAAAGTCTTTGCAGAAAATGAGAAGAAACAAGGGATAATTAATTTACAACAAAATCAAAACTCACTGCCATTGAGTTGATTACAATTCACAGAGACCCCCATTGGGTTTCCAAGGCTGTAAATCTTTACAGAAACAGACTGCCTCATCTTTCTTCCATGGAGCAGCTAGTGGGTTCAAACCACCAACCTTCTGGCTAACAGCCAAATGCCTTAACCACTATACAACCAGACCTCCTTAACTTAGAAAAATAAAGGAAAAACAAATGCTAGTCCTGCTTAAAATGTCCTTAACAACCTCTGTAGAACACCAGAAGTCCTCTCCTCAGGACAGAAGAAAGGCAGGGTGGAAAGGAGGCAGCCTTAGGGACATGTTTTCCTCTTCCCAAACTAAGTCAACATAGTTATATTACACCTCTACAGTATCTTTGGTTTACCTTAGGACCTTCCTATGCCCTTTCCATTACTAAATAGTGTATCTTATGAATTCATCTGACCTACTGTTGACTTAAAATGGTTATAGACATTTTATTTACCTTGTTATTTCCCACAGTGACAAACAGAAAAACAACATAGAAGGGACTTGATTATCCAGAGAAATACTGCCCAATCTTGATCCTAACAATACTAAAACAGTTACACTAAAATTCATAGTGATATTAAATAAAAAATTGTTACAGATGCCAAATTTTCACTCAGTTAAAAAGCTTTATAACTGAAAGACAATTGCTTTTCAAAGTATGTAGCAAAAAGCATTCTGTAAATGGCAATTCATATGCAACAATTCTTCCTCTACACATCTGTATCACCTTGGGTCAAGACTAAAACAACATCTGGGGTACTGTTTCTTAAAGAATCAAATCATAAAAGTATCTGCCAGGGAATCTTCACTGTATTTCTTTCTGTTCTAGAAATAATTTTTTAAAATAAAAACATGCTCTGGGGTATAATCCATGACACGAGGAATGTTCAGAGATGCATGGTGAATTCAGTCTTTTTTTTTTTTTTTAAATCTTAAGAATGAACAAACTACAACAAGAAAAGAAAAGAAAACCCACTGATAATGTAACAATATAACAGATCATATTCTAATTTCTTATCACAAATTATGACTCTCAAGTAGTGAATATGTGCGGTTTTGTTTTTAAATTTAATCAAATATATGCCATGATATATAAATGAGTGTTTGCGCCTCTTCTAGTCTAATCAAGAGAATGAATCTGTCCAAATACTGACTTAACTCAGACTGTTCTTGAAATTCCTGATCTACAACAGCTCTCAGGAACTCCTTATGAGACACTTAAGAAAATGTCCCAATCAGCACCCACAACATTATCAACAATTAAGCTAACCATTCTATTTCCACAGTTGAAAATGGTAGGGATGGAGAAGAGAAGGGAGATAGAGCTGGGGGACAGGGAGGAGGAGTACAGGAAAGAGGAGGAAAGAAAAGAAAGAACAAACTTCAAAAGGTGATGATTTGCTAGCAGTGGGGCTAGATATTATTTTTAAATGATAGTCTCTGAAGATTATTCTCAAAGTCAAGCTCTAAAATGTGCTGATCATCTCCAAAATAATTAACACTCTCCCCAAGGTATACATGTTCTTAAAAGGGAAAAATAATAGATTATGTAAACTCTGATAAATGATTATCTTGTTACCCTTAAAGGAGCTCTGGTGGCATAGTTCCTAAGGCATTTGACTGCTAACCAGAAGGTTGGCGGTTCAAACCCACCAGCCACTCTACAAAAGGAAGCCTGGGCAATCTACTTCCGTAAAGATTTACTGTCTCAGAAACCCAAAGCGGGTTGCTATGAGTCGAAATCAACTCAATGGCAGTAAGTTTAGTTTTGGGTTTGTGTTATCCTTAAACCTCTTTATTATATATTATATGCTAATTATCTAAAGTATCAGTAAATTATTTCCCTGCAAACTAACTTTTAGGGACTGTATACATGATGTGGTGGTTTTAAAATATGTACAGAAATATTTTGATACTTCTTACTTTAAGAAGTTGAGACTAAACACTCCAACACCTCAATAACAAAAAGACAAACAATCCAATTAAAAAATGGGCAGACGGCATGAATAGACACTTCACCAAGGAGGATATTCAAGCGGCCAACAAACATATGAAGAAATGCTCATGATCATTAGCTATTAGAGAGATGCAAATCAAAACAACAATGAGATACTATCTTGCTCCAGCACTAGTAGCAAAGTTCAACAAGACAGAAAATAACAAATGCTGGCGAGGTTGTGGAGAGATTGGGACTCTCATACACTGCTGGTGGGACTGTAAAATGGTACAACCATTGCGGAAAGCAGTATGGCGATTTCTTCAAAAGTTGGAAATACAAATACCATTTGACCCAGCCATCCCATTACTAGGTATATACCCTAAAGAAGTGAGAGCCATAACAAGAACAGATATATGCACGCTGATGTTCATCGCAGCACTATTTACAATAGCCAAAACTTGGAAACAACCTAGATGTCCAACAACTGAGGAATGGATAACCAAACTTTGGTACAATCACACAATGGAATACTATGCAACGCTAAAGAATAATGTAGAATCTGCAAAACACCGCATAACGTGGATGAACTTGGAGGACATTATGCTGAGTGAAATAAGTCAGTCACAAAAGGACAAATATTGTATTAGTCCGTTATTGTAAAAGTTAAGGAAAGGTTTATATATTGCCGGACATTTTCTTTGTTGGTTACCAGGGGTGGGAGGGGAGGGGAGGGAATGCTGTTAGATAGATAGAGATAAATATTGATTTGGGTGAAGAGAAGGGCAATGTACCAAATATGAGTGACCAATATGGCAGCATTGAGGATGAGAAAGACATAGAGAGTTACATGGGCAGTACAGACAACAAATATGAACCCCTTTGCATATACAGTACTGAGTTGTCAGTGAAAGCAAACATGGGTATAGGGACGGATAGATGGGTGAACAAGCTAAACAATTAGGTATGTCTAAATGGAGAGTGTATCCAAGATCATATATAGGGTTGGCAGACAATGGGCCTATAAGTTCATGTGAATGATCAGAATTCCCAGGTGTATAGTAGAGCTGACAAGGGGCAAGGTTATGGTCATTACTTGGTCACAGCCAGCTACCCAGAGGGACCGAGTAGTTGATCCTGCGGGCTTGGGACCACAGTCGCAAGGGACATCAAGCTCAATTGGCATAACATACTATACAAAACATTGTCCCACCTACTACTTTGGCGAGTAGCGACTGGGATCTTAAAAGCTAGCAAGCTGCCATCTAGATGCAACAACGGGTCTCTCCTCGTCAAGAAGAAAGAAGAAAACCAAAATTAATGGAAACAATCAGTCCTAGCGACTGGTACACCATCCGATCTGCAACCTATACAACTATGAGACCAGAAGAACTAGATGGTGCCCAGCTACCACTGCCATCCACTTGGAAGGGATGTAGGAGATCCTGCATAGAGAGGGAGAACAATGTGGAACAAAACTCAAAATCATTTGGAGGCAAAAAAAAAAAAAAAAGAAGGTGGGGACCAGGTTTGCTGGTCCAATAGAGCCTGGTGGAACCACTGAGACTATGGCCCCTAGCTGCCCTTCAGGTCTGGAATTGAACACACAACTGTGGTTTCCAGCCAAACAAAGTACAGGCATGTGAGTTAAACATTTACCTCAAGTAGACACACGCCCTGGAGAGAAAAATCATGGGAGAAGGAAGGGCTGCTTATGCACAGGGAGATAGCTCAGGGTGCAGAAGAGTATGAAGGGATGGACACTGGGAAGAGGTAACTATGGGCAGGAAGTGGGAGGGGAGCTGTTGCATTGTAAATTTTGGTCAATGACATGAGACAAAGTATATGTGAACTGCTGTATGAAAAGTGAAATTACTCTGTAAATCTTCACCCAAATCAAAATAAAAATTAAAAAAAAAAAAGAAGTTGAGACTAATTCCCCCTCTCCTTGAGTACAGGATGGGCCCAGTGTCTTGCTTCTACAACAAACAAAACGGAAGAGTGTGTGTGCGCTGCTCAGGAGACTAGGTCATAAAAAGCAGTGACTTACTCCTTATTCTCTCTTGGACTCCTTGCTACAGTCCAAAGTTAGCTACAATGGTACAAGGACATTCAAGAAGCCTATAAAGAAGCCACATGGTAAGGAACCAATAGGCCTCCGACAAAAGCCATGTGAGAGAGCTATCTTGAAAACAGACACTTCAGCCTCAACCCTGCCAACAACCTGAGTGCAACCACATGAGCGACTCGGGGCAAGAACCACACAGCTAAACTCCTAAATTCCTGTTCTACTGTCACAACATTTGAGAGTAATTTGTTACACAGCATAAGCAGCAAATAGAAATGAAAAGAGTAAATTACCTTATAAAGTTCTTTCTCATCCTTTTCTGTCTTCAACTGACTTTCAAGATGTTCTCTTTCATGTTGTGCTTTCCTGAGTTTGTCTTTTAAGCTGAGTAAAGATCAAGTAACATTAATATTAAAAAGAAAATAAAGAACCTTTGCTAAAACATTTTTAAAATACTGAAGTTATTTTTTTAAAGCATCAAAAATACCTGTCCAGTTCTGTTTCTTTTTCAATTGCTTTATGTGTCACTGAAACAATATCTTCTTCAAGTTGGAGAGCTTTGATTGTAGCATCACTGCATTTCTTCTTAAACTCTTCATTTTCCATTTTTAAACTTTGTGATATTTCAATAAGACCCTTAGAAACAACAGCAGAAGATGTTTTGAAAAACAGAAACATAAAAACAACAGTTACCTTCTTCAAATTTGCCTTATCTTTAAGGAATCTATGTATTCTTAAATTTTTAATACCACATTTGCCCCCTGTAAAATTTATAAGCTAAGACTACAAACTAAACCTGAAAATATGAACATCTATTCAACTTCTCATATACTATTTATATATAATGCTTATATATAAATACACACACACATACACATAATAATTATTATATAGAAAGAGATTTCCAGACATTTCAGCTACCCTGTTTGTTAATTTCAGTAACTTCTCCACCAGAGGGCAGGCAACAAAAGTGAAAAAAACCTAAATTAGTGGATTTTGTTTTTCACATATAGCTTTCCAATGATACCCTAATAACCTATCAGGTTTCACATTATATTATCAAGGTTAACTACTACTTTTACCAGTATAGATCACTAACTGCCATTGATAATTACACCATAGCACAAAGTTAAGATAAATACTAAAGAAGTGTTCTTAATGTTTCTGCCAGTGTGACTTACAGGATTCTAATATTCAAAAACACTAAAAAATGTATAATGTAGTAAACACATTAATAAAACATATTTCTATTTAAAATAAACATTCTACTTTAAACAGATAATTTTAAAAATTTAAAAAACTTTTTATCACATGAATTAAGACTATCAACCCATGAGAATTTGATGGAGTTCCCATCTAAGTCTGTGCTTTATAATCTGTAAAATGGAGATAATAAGGCCCTTTCTGCCTAATTCATAAAATAATGAGAATCAAATGTAGCAATGTATACAGAAGTACTTTGTTATGAAAATCTATACATTAAAAGAATTGTTAAATTAAGACAAACTACTTTTGTTCAAAAATTTTTTTAATTTCTCATTTAATAAGTATTACCTACCCCACCAACAATAAAAACTAAAGAAAATTACCAATCTGTTGATTTAAATGTATCAAACATTATACAATATTTATAAGTAACTTTGTTTTGTAAGTTAATTCAGCCAATTTTAGCTTTACCAAATGCTCTTGTTATTGCAAATCAGCTACAAAATTAATTCAGGTATTTCTCCCTTAAGACAATGACTGGCTTACCTGAAGGGAAAGATTAGTTTCTGACCCTGTAACTAAGATAGCATTAATAATAAGTAAACAATATTCCAAGAATATAAAAGAGAAGTAAAACTACAGAAAATTCATAAGCAATTGAATGTAAAACATAAAGTTACTGGTATCTATACAGTGAATCACAAATTATTTGACTATAACTTGCAAGTCTTAGACTCTTTTGGGGTACTGTGAGATGACCCATAGAGACACTTGATGGTGTCTCAGCATTCAAGTCTATTTTCAAATGGCATAAAACACTAAAGTACGAATTATTCTTCATGTTCTAGTTCTCATCTCTGAAGTAAGCATAAGCATCTCCAATGTGGCTGTTGGGATCCCTTAGCACCCATCAAAACAGCATCAATGCCCTTAAGTGAACATAGAAACAACTTAGAATCGTGATGTATTTTAAAAGAAATAACTTTAAAAAAACTAAAATCTACCACACAATCTTTGAAATTTCTTGAATTTCTGATGAATATTCATTTGGTCACCATTTGAAAATCATACTTGAAAGGATGTAACTCTAATACTGAAACACAGAGCCATCAAGTCAATTCTAACTCATAGTGACCCTGAAATAAAGCAAACCAAACTCACAGCTTTCGAGTCAATTCAACTCATAGCGACCCCTCCTTGGGTTTCCGAGGCAGTATCGCTATGGAAGTAGATTGTCCAACCTTCCTTCCGAGGAGTGGCTGGTGGGTTTGAACCACCAGCCTTCTGGTTAGCAGTTAAATGCCTTAGGCACTACACCACCACAGCTCCCATAGTGACCCTAAAGGACAGAGGAAAACTGCCCCATAGGGTGTCCAAGGCTATAAGTCTTTATAGAAGCAGAATGCCTCATCTTTCTCCCTCAGAGCAGCTGGTAGGTTTAAACTGCCGACCTTATGGTTAGCAGTCCAATGCTTTAACCACAATGCCACCAGAGCTCCTTTAACATAAAAACAGAGGAAAAATTAAGTAATTAAGTCCGGTACACTATATCCCAAGATAGGAAAAATCACAAAAATTGAGGCAAATGGAGAAGAGGTTTGTGCATTTCAAACCCATAAAGGGGACTTCTCTCCCTCACCTTGAGCTTAAAAATCACAGCTACAATGAGCCATTATTACCAATTCTCATAGAACCCTCAGATATCATAAGCCTCAGATGAGGAAGAGCAAATAAAAAGATTGCAAATCACTCATCAGTGTAGGAAACATGCACTAAAAGTATTTAAAATGGTAACATATTTATTATTCCCATTTTAAAAAATTAATTCTGCATATAAATTAATACATTTAAAGAAATCAGATATACTTTCACTGTACAATTATCTAGGGAAAAACTATGGTATTCTGGATTCATAATGTATACAAAGTAAAATTTAGTCAATTAGTGTCTAAATACTCTCTCCAGCAGGTAACTGACTAGAAGACCTGTTACTTACGGAAACTGCTAGAGTCAGATCTTAAAATAAATCTTACTCATCTGATTTAATATGGCTTTTCTCAAACACCCTGCTTCTTAAAATCAACTGTAATACTGAGCTGCATATAAATGCTTCTCTGGTTTCTAGAACTCCAAGACACAAAAATATAACTGGTAGCAATATACAATTTAAAAAAAAGACAACTATCTTTATGGCATTAAGATAGTGGGCTAAGAAGAGAAATAAATAAAAATAACTAGGTAATTATTTACTTCATTAACATTACCCATCACAAAAACAACCTGCTTAAGTTGCTGTTTTGTTGGTTGTTTCTTTAGTAACCTGACTAAAATCACAGGTTATAATAGCTTTACAAAATCTCTAGATCAAATATTCATATAACCTCTTCAGTAATAAACCTCTAATTTACCTCAAGAAAACCTTATACTTTTATTCAACTATCAACAACAAAAGCAAGAAAGTCACTGAGAAAGTTGTCATGAAGAATACGTATTGGCCAGATTCAAAGAGCACAAACAAAGCTTAAATACAGTAATATTTAATGAGAGCTACTTCTCATTGTCAAAATCTGCTATGTTGTTGTTGTTATGTGCCATCGAGTCAGACCCGACTCATAGCGACCCCTCCTTGGGTTTCTGAGGCGGTATCACTACAGAAGTAGATTGGCCAATCTTCCTTCAGAGGAGTGGCTGGTGGGTTTGAACCACTAGCCTTCTGGTTAGCAGTCAAGTGCCTTAGGCACTAGGCTACCAGAGCTCCTTAATCTGCTATAAACAAATGTAATTAAATTGTACTTTTATAAGAAAATAATAAATCTGAAGCATTCTATTTTTGGTTGAAGTAGAAGAGAGGGAAGAAACACTACAAGTATATCTAATGTTTAAATTACTTCCAGAACATAAATACATTCCACAGAAAAATGATTTTTAACTTTGGGTTTCTAAAGGAGGCAAGAAATAAGTAGAAAAATTTACAGTAGTAGTTTTACTTAAACAGACTTTTTTTTTTTTTAAATGTGATTTGGATGAAAGTTTACAGAGCAAATTGGTTTTCCATTCAACAATCTATACTCATTGTTTTAAGACATTCACAGTAAATTCCTACAATGCAACAGCAGTTTTCCCACTTCCTTCCCACACCCACTCACTTCATCCTTCCTTCCCAGTCTCTTTTGTCTTCCTAGCTCTATCCCAGGGCAAATGCTGCTCTCTTGCTCTCATATGGCTGATTGTTCTAATGAGTGCATGACCACCTATTATTACTGTTTACTTTATTGTCCTATAGATTGGCTCAAAGTTGAGCCCCAGGGGTTGAGTTCAGTTCCCATGTGAAGGGTATCTAAGGGTCATAATCTCAGGGGTTATACCAGTCTTCATCTGACCAGTAAGCCTGGTCATTTTTATCATTTATGTTCGGTTCCACACTCTTCTCCCACCCTATCCAGGACCTCCTATTGTGATCCCTTTCACAACAGTCACCAGAGTACCATCTAGTTCTTCTGGTGTCAGGGTCAAAGATGGTGGGACTTAAACAGCCTTTTATTTTGATGAAATTGAATGAGAAACATTCTATGAGAAAAGTCATATGAAACAAACTATATAATATTATATTTCACTATTAATCTATTAAAAATAAAAAAACTATGGACTAGTTCAGAAGTGGGAGCTCTGGTGGCGTATTGCGCCTAAGGCAGTTGACTGCTAACCAGAAGGTTGGCAGTTCAAACCCACCAGCCACTCCTCAGAAGGAAGACTGGGTAATCTACTTCAGTAGTGATAATGCCTCAGAAACCCATGGAGGGGTCATTGTGAGTCAGAGATGACTCCACAGCACCTAACAACAACAACAATTCAAAAGTATGTAAATATACTCGTTATTATTTAAGAAACAATGTATTATGAATTTCCTGAAACTAGTACTTTGGCAAAACGGGTACAAATTAATTTGCTTTAAAGAAATTTAATAATATATCTATATGTAAGTCATAGCCATAACTCCTATACATTAAAATTAAGCCTTCCTGTCTTCTTTTCACAATGACAACTGGTTAAAAAAAAAAAAAGTAGAAATTCAATGAGAAATTGACTAAAGTCATAACTTCAAAATTAGTTCTTAGTAGTTCCATATATTAGGTATTAAATGCCTTAAATTGTCTCTGTCCAAAATTGGGTATTCTAATACAGTGATAATAACAACAGCTATCACTTATTGAGAACTGACTGCATAGGAGATGCTATGGTATGTGCTTTATGTACATCTTATTTGATCTACATATAACCTAAGAATTAGGAACAATTAGGATGTTCATTTACATATGAAAAAACTGAACTATACAGAAATTAAGCAGCTGACAAAAGGTTACACAGCTAGTAAATGATAGAACTGAAAATGATTTCAATTCTATTCTAAAACAAGAGTTTTCTAAAATAAC